CTTGGGACCGGACCACAGTGTGCATATGAGGAGGGTGTGCACTTATAGAGGGTGCACTTATAGAGTTCTCACTGTATTATCGAAAATTTATCTATTATCGTTCGCTTTATTACACTCATGACTTTAAACTAATGTAACGTTTAAGCGCACTCACATGTTTTGGTAACTTTTTTAGAGTCTTCTTGTTACAGCAGAAATAAACCATTTGCACGTACGTAGTATCCCATCAACCATTATTGACTTCTTTGTTGACATCAAATTATCCAACGGTCAAAACATTTATTAGCTGATAATATTGCCTCCTTGTCACATACAAATCACATAATTACGGGCGTGCATTTAGAGAAGATAAAATATAATAAGTGGGTGGGGTGGCTCTCAAGAACTCTTGTGGAAAAACATTATGATGTAATGTGGAGATGATATCGATTGTATAGTCAACATTCTACTTAAGATAAACGGATGTGCTGCATATGATACTAATTGCGAGATGAATATGCACAGCGACAAAATAACGTACGTTTGGTTAACGTAATTAAGTCCGCGTTCAATGATAGGATGCTATTCTTTGGCGCTATGAGTCAATTCAGACTTTCTCATGAAATCACTCTTCGAAAAAACCTAAATTGCTTCAAGGATAATGTCAATCTGAATTCTTTGTTACTAATATAACCACCATGTAGGGCTGAATGGATAACGTAATTGTGAAAAGATAACCGATTAATTAAATTATTGCGGGTAGAATAAAAGTGCGTAGTGTACTGTTTATGTGCTGCAATGTCTTATTCACAGTTACACAAATGACATAACGAAATAGGGAAATGTACCAATTATATTACCTGCAGTAAATGTATGAGTATGAGGAAGAAAAATTTTAAACCATGTCGTTAGTTCTAAACGTCGATGATATAGACAATCCAGCAATTGACAACTTGGTTGAATCCTCCTCGGAAAGTGGAAATGAAGACTTAAGACTTGAATGGATTTCTTACGAGGAAATGGCTAACTTAGAGCCAACTCAAATCGACAATGTCTACTATGCTAGTCGCAAGCAAATGAGTTATGGAGATGTTAAAAAAACGGGGATAATGTTACTATCACTCGGAAATAGCAAAGAATGTACACCAACACTTGTGAGTGAGTTTGCTAGGACATACTCACTACCAACGCACAAGTACAATAATAACAATAACTTTAGATGATATTCCAAATGGCTTAATGCACACAACAGACTCATAAAGGGATTTACCGAATATGATAATAATTATTACATGGTTGCTGATAGAAAGTTTTACTACTGTTACTCTCGATATGGATTCTGCTCCATATGTGGACTACTCCGATGTAGTTCCGTGTGGTGCATTTGCGGACATAAACAATTATCTGATGGATGGACTAGCAACAATATGCAACTCGATAAGTTTATCAAGAAATCTCAATCACAAACAAACTCACAAAATGACGCCTATTTGGAATGGATTCCATACGATTGCGTTAGTACAGTATACTTGGATGGTCTACCTACTTATAGGGAAGTTAAATTGATTCCACTTGAGATAACAAATAAGACACATGATTTATATTTTGTCGAGGTAAACTACTAACTTATGCGTTATATTTATTGAATAGTTTATATAATAATTGACTCGTCATTTCTACTAGTTATGTGATAAGCATCCAGATATTCTTAACACTGATGTTTGGGTTACTATCGGGTTTACATACAATGCAAGCGAACAAAAGTATTATCTAATAAAAGCATGTCGTGGGCGTTCATTATGTCTGGCCTGTGTGAGGCCATTAAACACCAAGATAAATGCATTCTGTTATGAGTGTAAAGCACCACGACCTCTTGATTGGACAACGGGCAACAAATCATTGGATTCATTTATCATGGAATCGTGGCATAATACAGAACATGAATATGATGCATATGTACAATGGATAGAATATTCTTTATTGACAAACGTACAAGAGATGACATCATTACGCCATGGATGCACACATGTAGCAGATTGGCTAGAGCTGATAGCGGATAAATCGACAAGCGTGACGCTCAAACGAATAGTTGACGGACAAAATGCTCAACCATTTGACTTTTATCAGGTCAAGTAAATTATTTTTGTGCATAATTATGCAAACGATATGTACGATTAACATTTGTTGTTATAACGATTGTATTTTATAGCTAACCGAGGAATACCCAGAGATATTAACACATGAGAATATTTGGATAATTGGGATCACTCAGGAGCCATCTACTCGGGAATACTATTTAGTGTTTTACCGTGACATACATGCGATATTGGACGGTTTTATACGATTTAATGAATGGGCAACGTACATGCAGTATAACGACTTTAATGAAGTCAAAGAGATCGGATCTGGAGGTTATGGAACAGTTTATACTGCCAATTACAGAAAGTATTCGGAAGGAGAGGGTGTGCCACAAACCGTTGTACTCAAATGGTTTACAAGTTTTGACACAGCACCGGAATTATTTATTTCTGAGGTAAGCAAGAATTGGTAGTATTAATCAATCACCATATAATCTGAGACCGTATTTATTACATTTAATAGTTCAGAAATCATGCCAAGTGCATAAGCCCATATCATGATAGTTCATTTCTTAAAATTTACAGAGTCACGCAAGACCCAGAAACAGACAAGTACATGATTGTTATGCAATATGCCAACAATGGTAGTCTTTTGTCTTATTTGAATCAAAATATTAACAAATTGACGTGGAAGATGAAATTAGAGTGTTTGAGAGATATTGCATGGTATCTGACTACTATTCATAAGGTGGGAGTAGTGCATTGTGATCTTCATGGCGGAAACATAGTTATGCATGACAATACGGGTGAGACAAAATCATTGATATGCGATCTTGGTTTATCACGATCAGTCAATTCACACAAGTCAAATTTAGCCGTTCAAGGTGTTTTACCCTTTGTTGCACCATTGCACCATTGCACCATCTTTCTCTCTTACCACTTCGCTACTGCGCCACAAGAATAGAAAGATATCACTTTTAATAAAAAACTACTACATTTGGCTCATTATAAACATAAAAATGAATGCTCAAGGCTCCTCTAGCATTCCAATGGACACTGACACCAGTGCCCCATCCCAACCCAAAGGCCCTAAACACCTGAGAGTGTTCGAAATTTTCAGCTGGGAAAATGTTCAGAGTAACCTCACTACAAACTGACCCCAATCCACTAGAATCCCCCCTGCTACTGACCCAACATCTGCTTTTCTAGATGTTCAGAAAATTCCCAATGAACTGGACAGAAGAGCCATTGCTGAGGCCCTCCCAGGGGAAGCTATCGGGTCGAAGTTCAGAGCGGATACTAACTTTATTCAAATCTTTTTTGATACTACAGCAGAAGCTAACATGTTTATCCAACAAGGTACCCTCCTAGTAAAAGATTTCGCCATCCCTATCCTCCCTCCAAAAGGAAAACTACCCCCAACAGCCTATATTAGGCTGGACAACATTCCTATTAGAAAAAGAGCCACTATGGAAACGATGCTTAAAAACATCATGGCAGAGTATTGCCTCCCAGTAGAAGTAGCACCACTTACACTCAAAGGAACGAAACTCATGACCTCTAGATGGGAGATGATGGCCCAAGCAATCCCAGAAAAAAACCTAGCTCAAACTCTACCCTCAATCATCGAAGTTGATGGCCAGAAAGTTCTACTATCCTGGCCAGGATCCCAACTCACCTGCCTACAATGTCTCTCAGTGGGGCACAATCACAAGAACTGCCCCAAATGAACTAAAACTACGCCTGTCCCAAAACAGGCCACAACCCCACCCAAACAAAAAAACCCCTTGACAAACAAAAATGCATCCTATGCAGATGCTGTGAAGCAAAAAACACCAATCATTACCAGTGAAACCCAGAAAGCCCCTGAACACAGCGGAAGCTCCAAATCTGGCACTCCGAATCTACATATCGAAAATGAAATCTATCAAGGGCCCACCTCCCTACATGATGATGTAACATCTATGTATGAGGAGTTCAATCTTGATGGACAATCCCATCCCCCATCCCCACACTCAGAATACGTAAGCATGGAACCTGAATATTCCAATACTAATACACAGATCACCAATGAGACCCATAGTGACAACCAAATAACCAAAAAGAGGCATATTGAAATCTCATCATCTGGCTCACCGCAACCCACGAATCTGGGTAACATCTACAACTACTTTTCGAAGCAACCTAGAAACAACACCGCAGATCCAGAAAACTAGAAGAACAGACCTAAATTATATTACTTTATTAAAATGAAAATAATCTCATTTGATGCTAACGGTCTATCCAACTTTCAAAAGTTCAAACGAATACTAACTAAACTCAAATCTCTCTCACCAGACATCATCCTCCTACAAGAAATATTCAACTACAACATCACCCCTAATCACCTAAAATTTGCAACCAAAACATGGTCTTCCATTTGGAAGGGAGATATCCATGCCACTCCTTATGTAGCAATCTTGGTTAACCCCAACATTAGATCTACCCTCATATTTGAATCTAATGACCATCGCATCATTGACATTACCATCTCCTCCCCCCACTCCCCAACTACTAACGTTAGAAATGTTTACGCTCCAGCAGATCACACATCCCAACGCACATTCTTTCCCTCCCCTCCCCTCAGCACCCCTCATTGTAGGCAGAGATCTCAATGCAGTTCTCACTGCTGAGGACCATCAATCATCAACACACTGGAGATGGGTCCCTCTAGGACCATACATCCTCCCCCACCTCGGCAACCTAATTGACACAGGAGCGACCACAGCCAAACCAGCATTTACCTCCTATCACCACAATGGCAACAACTGGTCCAAGTCCAGAATAGACTACATCTTCATCTCTCCAACTTTCTTCCCCTCCTTTAACCTACACACACACCACATGGGATCAGACTCTGACCATAGAGCCCTGATACTATCAGACACCAGAAGAAACAAAGACAAATCACCCATATGGCGCTTCAATGCTTCATTCCTTAAATCCACCAAACACACCAAAGCCATAGAACGTATAATCTCAATCCATCCTCCCATATGGAATGCCTATGAATGGTGGGATGACCTAAAGACTCAATCAGGAACTACTGCCAAAAAGCAGGAAGAGAGTCCAAAAACAAACGAACAGAAGGCATACGGAACCTCACAAACAGACTTAACAAGCTCCAAAGAGCAGCCAACCCCAACCCAACCAAGATTGCAGCTGTCACCAACAGACTGGCTGAAATGGAAAAGGCGCTCTCTGAAGCCATGGCGATTCGATCGAGAATCAGATGGAAAGAAGAGGGAGAACAATCCAATCGTTACTTCATGCGACAATTCCACCACCACCGTCGCAAGACTACTATCAACTCCCTCCAGATCCCCCCATCAGAAACACCTAACCTCACATCCCCTGCACCATCACCCTTCCTCTCGTATGTACAGAACAGCTCTTCCCCACAGAGGAACAACAACAACAACGAACCGAACACAACTACAACTGCCACTGAGGAAATTGTCACATACGCTGCCAAACACTTCAAAGACCAATGGTCCTTATTCTCTCCCCTCTTTAACACTCCCCGCTCCAACTATATACCCTCTCTATCCACAATTGACTCGGAGGCCCTTGCCCTCCCTATACACCCATCACATGTCATAACAGCTCTCAAGGACAAACAACCCTCCTCAGCACCAGGTCCTGATGGCTTCACATATGCCTAACTACCCCAAACGCACCAACAAAAAACTTGCAGCACATGACAACTGCAAAATTTTTTACTGGCTGAAACGAAAAAAAATTTTCGCTTACCTGTGCCGCACACAGATTCCCTTTATGGGACTAGAGCAAATTTGCATTTCTTTATTTA